TGTGCCACTGTCCCGCCCCCCCGGGGCAGAGCAACCAATGAAGGCGGACCTTGGGGCGGTGGGGGCGGGACAATATCTGGCAATACGTGGAGTGTGTGCGCATGCGCGCTTATGCACATATGTGTGTGCACGTGCGTGTGCATGTGTGTTCACTCGTGTGTGCACGTGTGTGTGTGTGTGCTCATATATGTATGTGTGCCCATATATGTGTTCATGTGCTCACACGTGTGCAGGGATGTCCTGTGTGTGCACACTGCGAGCAGGGGCTGGGGGAAGGGGCCCATGTGCAGCCCCGTGGGATGGTTTGGGTTGTTCCACCCCTGCCATGGGCAGGGACACCTCCCACTAGCCCAGGTTGCTCCTAGTCCCGTCCAGCCTGGCCTTGGACACTTCCAGGGATGGGGCAGCCACAGCTGCTCTGGGCAACCTGTGCCAGGGCCTCCCCACCCTCACAGCCAAGAATTCCTTCCCAATATCCCATGTCACCCTGCCCTCTGGCAGAGGGAAGCCATCCCCCTTATCCTGTCCCAAGTCCCTCTCCAGCTCTCCTGGAGCCCCTTTAGGCTCTGGAAGGGGATCTCAGTTCTCCCTAGAGCGTTCCCTTCTCCGGGTGACCCCCCCAGCTCTCCCAGCCTGGCTCCATGGCTCAAGGTCTCCAGGGCCCCTCTGTCTGCCCTCACAGGTCCCTGTGCTGGGTGGACACCCCAGGGATGGGTCTGTCATGGAGCCGCTGCCGGGAGGGATGGGGGGTGGTGTGGGGGTGTCGGTGTGTGCACACCAGGACACGGTGTGGGTGTGAGTGGAGGGTGAGCAGTTTGGGGAGGGGGCTGGGGGGTTGTGACAGGGTGTGACAGACCCTGTCAGCTGGTGACACAGCATGTGTGGGGCACTGAACGGGGTTCTGGGGGATAAAGGGGGGGCGCGGGGTGCAGCCCCCCGGCCACGCTGTCACCTACATCGGGCTGTCCCGGGGCCATCCCTGGTTTATGGCTGTTCCCGCAGCCGCACGGGTTGTGGGAAGGGCGTTTCCAGCCCCGGTCTAGAGAGCAGCGGCTGAGCTGGGCTGGGTCCCGTGGCCTTGGCACTTGCCCCAGTGCCCGAGGGGGTGAGGCCAAGCAGAGCCAGGTCCTCACCCC